AGGAATTCAAGACCAGCCTGACCAACCTGGTAAAACCCTGTCTCTACTAGAAACACAAAAAATTACCCGGGTGTGATGGCAAGCACCTGTAATCCCAGCTACTCGGGAGGCTGAGGGAGGAGAATCACTTGAACTTGAGAGGCGGAGGTTGCAATAGCTGAGATCGTACCACTGCACTCCAGCCTAGGTGACAGAGTGAGACTCCATCTCAAACACAAATAAAAACCCCCAAAATTAGCTGGGCATGATGGCAAGCGCCTGTAGTTCCAGCTACTTGGGAGGGTAAGGCAGGAGAATCGCTTGAACCCAGGAGGCAGAGGTTGCAGTGAGCCAAAATCATGCCACTGCACTTCAGCCTGGGCAACAGAGCAAGACTTTGTCTCAAATATGTGTATAACCAAACTGAAAAGGGGATCTAAAAAGAAACTACTATATATACAATGTAAGAAACAAATTAAGATGTCAAAAATCAGCACTCCTTAGAAAGGGAAGAGATTGGCTAGGCGTGGTGGCTCACGCCTGTAATCCCAGCACTTTGGGAGGCAGGCAGATTATGAGGTCAGGAGATGGAGACCATCCTGGCTAACACGGTGAAACCCCGTCTCTACTAAAAATACAAAAAATTAGCTTGGCGTGGTGATGGGCACCTGTAGTCCCAGCTATTTGGGAGGCTGAGGCGTAAACCCAGGAGAATGGTGTAAACCCAGGAAGTGGAGCTTGTAGTGAGCTGAGATCACGCCACTGCACTCCAGCTTGGGCGACAGAGACTCTGTCTCAAAAAAAAAAAAAAAGGAAGAGATTACATCTATTACAAAAAAAAGGATGAAATGAAATAAAATCAAGAAACAGACAAAAGGATTCTTAGGAATTAAAAATGATCGCTATTTAATTTATTTATTTAGAGATGGAGTTTTGCTGTTGTTGCCCAGGCTGGAGTACAATGGCACCATCTCGGCTCACCACAACCTCCACCTTCCAGGATCAAGCGATTCTGCTGCCTCAGCCTCCCGAGTAGCTGGGATTACAGGCATGCGCCACCATGCCTGGCTAATTTTGTATTTTTAGTAGAGACGGGGTTTCTCTATGTTGGTCAGGCTGGTCTCGAACTCCTGACCTCAGGTGATCCACCCACCTTGGCCTCCCAAAGTGCTGGGATTACAGGTGTGAGTCACCGCACCCAGCTTTATTATTATTTTTTGAGACAGAGTCTCTGTCTTGGCTCACTGATTCTTGGCTCACCACAACCTCCACCTCCCAGATTCAAGCAATCCTCCCACCTCAGCCTCCTGAGTAGCTGGGACTATAAGTGTGCACCACTAAGCCCGGCTAATATTTTTTCTATTTTGGGGGGTAGAGACAGGGTTCTGCCATGTTGCCCAGGCTGGTCTCAAACTTCTGGGCTCAAGCAATCCGCCTGCCTCAGCCTCCCAATATGCTGGGACTGCAGTGTGAGCCACTGTGCCCAGCTAAGCTACTTTAAAAATCAGTAGGACTTTACTGAAGGGAATGAGTCTCTGGAGTGAAACCTAGCCATCAAGTGCCTAGCCCAATGAATGGGCAAACCACATAAAACAGAGGTTCCTCAATGCTTACAGGGAGGAAATCAGGGCACATACAAAACGAGTTAGACTTTTCATCACATTAGAAGGTAGAAGCCATGGGAACAACACCTTAAAAATTCAGTGGGAAAAGGATATCCAAACCACAATTCTATACCCAGCCAAAATATCAATTCCATATAGTTTACAAGCATTTTCAAACTTCAAAGTCTTAAAAATCCTACTTCCCATATGCTGTTTCTCAGGATTGCACCAGAGGAACTGTGCCACCAAAACAAGCTTGTAATTCAAGAAAGAGAGTACGTGAGATCCACAAGACAGGGCTGCTAATGCAGGACAATGGCAGGGAACCCTAGCCCACATCTGTGCGGACTCCAGGATGTCCCCTGCGGTGGTAGAGGGTTGGAAATAACAGCACAGATAGTGTCTCACTGTGTGGAAAACTGTACTGGAGGTGTTTCACAGAGTTAAAGGGGGTAACTGGGCAATCAAAATAATCAAATAATTTTTAAGAAAAAACAAGAGGCCAGGCAAAGTAGCTCATACCTGTAATCCCAGCACTTTAGAAGGCCAAGGTGGGCATATCACTTGAGGCCGGGAGTTCAAGACCAGGCTAGGCAACATGGTGAAACACCATCTCTACTAAAAAGACAAAATAAATAAATAAATAAATATATGCATGCATGCCATGCATGGCAGTGTGCACCTGTAGTCCCAGTTACTCAGGAGGCTGAGGCATGAGAATCATCTGAACCCGGAAGTGAAGGTTGTAGTGAGCCAAAATGGCACCAGTGCACTCCAGTCTGGGCAAAAAAGCGAGACCCTGTCAGAAAGGGGAGGGGAGGGGAGGGAGAAGGGGGAGGGGGAGGGAAAAAACATAAACAAGGAATTGGCCAGTGGCTCAGGCCTGTAACTTCAAAACTTTGGGGGCCAAGGTAGGTGAATCACTTGACCCCAGGAGTTTGAGATCAGCCTGGACAATACAGTGAAACCCCATCTCTACAAAAATTTAAAGAATTAGCCAAGTGTGGTTGTGCACACCTGTAGTCCCAGCTACTCGAAGTCTGAGAGAGAAGGATCACTTGAGCCAAACAGGTTGAAGCTACAGTGAGCCGTGATAGCGCCACTGTACTCCAGTCTGGGTGACAGAGTGAGATCCTGTCCCAAAAAGAAAAAAGAAAACAAAAAATTGTACAAAAGGCCGGGCACGGTGGCTCACACCTGTAATCCCAGCACTTTGAGGGCCAAGGCAGGCAGATCTCTGGAAGGTAGGAGTTCGAGACCAGCCTGACCAACGTGGCAAAACCCCCTCTCTACTAAAAATATAAAAATTAGCTAGGCATGGTGGTGGGCATCTGTAATCCCAACTACTTGGGAGGCTGTGGCAAGAGAATCGCTTGAACCTAGGAGGTGGAGGTTGTAGTGAGCCAAGATCGCGCCATTGCACTCCAGCCTAGGTGACAGAGCAAGACTCCATCTCCAAAAAAAGAAAAAAAGAAAAGAAATTGTACAAAAAAGGAGATGACCCATTATCTTACCCAGCTTAGAAGTAAACAAATTTACATAGTGATCACAATAGGGACAGATTGGCAAATCACATCCTCCTGCACCTGTTTTTATAAATGAAGTTTATGATTTTTTGTTTGTTTTGTTTTGAGACAGAGTCTCCTGTTGCCCAAGCTAGAGTACTGTGCCACGATCACAGCTCACTGCAGCCTCAACTTCCCAGGCTCAGGTGATTTTCCCATCACAGCCTCCCAAGTAGCTAGGACCATAGGTGCACTCCACCATGCTCAGCTTTTTTTTTTTTTTTTTTTTTGAGATGGAGTCTCGCTCTGTCACCAGGCTGGAGTGCAGTGGCGTGATCTCGGCTCACTGCAGCCTCTGCCTCCTGGGTTCAGGCGATTCCCCTGCCTCAGCCTCCTGAGGAGCTGGGACTACAGGCACCCACCACCACCCCGGTCTTAATTTTTTGTATTTTAGTAGAGATGGGGTTTCACCGTGTTAACCAGGATGGCCTCGATCTACTGACCTCATGATCCACCCACCTAACCCCAAGTGCTGGGATTACAGGCGTGAGCCACCGCATCTGGCTGCCAGATAGTAAATATTTCAGGCTCTGCAGGTCATACCATCTCTGTTGTGACTACTTAGCCTTCTGTCATAGTGCAAAAGTAGCCATCAATGAGGCCAGATGCAGTGGCCAAGAGGCTCACTTAAAGCCAAGAGTTCAACACTAGCCTAACAAGATGGCAAGACCCTGTCTCTACAAAAACAAAAAAAAATTAGCTGGATGTGGTAGCTCACACCTGCAGTCCCAGCACATGGGAGGCTGTGGTAGGAGGATCACTTGAGCCCAGGAATTTGAGGTTACAGTAAGCTATGATCCACTGCACTCCAGCCTAGACAAAAGCTGGAGTAAATATATATATGTAAATATATATATAATTTTTTTTTTTTTTACAATCTGACTACTTAATAGAAAGTTTGCCAACCTCTAGATCAAACTACACATTTGATAACTATTTGGTGGATATAAATTAGGGAGAAGAGAGTACAAATCAACTAAAATCCTTATTGAGAGTAACTCCAGACTCCAAAACAGAATGAATAAGACAGCAGTGTAAGAATACTATTTAGACACGTAGAGATAAATGCAGGAGAAAGTGCTAAAATAATTCAAAGTGATTCACATTATATAGTATGGGATGGAGTGGGGGAGACAAACTAGTTTTCATTTTAAGCCTTTTTGAGAACCACTTAATTACTTAAATTCTATTCAGGAATTACTTTGATAAAGCCAAAAAATCATTTTAAATCCACTGAACAGAACTCACCAAGACTTACAGTATCTGCGCTCAAGCTCTTCTGGAGTCTGGGGCCACTGGGTTCATCTCCGGCTGCCAGGAGCCATCACGGATGCCTGCAGTCCCCTCCATCCCTGCTCCTCCTCCTGGGTCTTCACACTAGGATCCCCATTCTGGGTGGTCCCTGGGGATTATTAACCATTTTCCTTCCTCCCTCCCCTCCCCTCAGGCCAAGCAGCAGGAAGCAGCAGTGAGCAGAAGGGAACAGCCCTCGCCTTGCCCCAGCCCTTCCTCAGCCCCAACTCTGCCGCTCCAATGAGGGGTCCCGGGCACTGGACAGCCATCCTCCTCTTCCCAGTCACCAGGTCCATGCTGCTGTAACTGTGCACACATTGCTGCTTCCCAGACAGCCTCAGCTAACTCAGGCCAACACTGCCCAAGAGCATACCGACACCAAAGTGCCAGTCCACTGGCCCAGTGCACACCCCCAGGACCCACCAAGCACCTCACCACCAAGCACCACTGAATGGTGGCAGGCAGATGCCCATCCCAGACACCACCCTCCTAAGACTTAGAAGCCATGTCACTTTGCTAGAGAGAACAGCCAAAGCAGAAACTGGAGGTCCCACACCAGTTTTCAATCAAGCTTTTAATGAAAAGATCATAAAATAACAGTTTCTCATCGCTGTACATTAAGACTGCACACTTCTGAATGGAGAGATCAGTCGTTGGTGAATTGCTTTTCTTTCTATGACACTGGGCAGCGGTGTAGCTGCAGTTCTGACCTGAATTTATACAAACTCTCAAGGAACATGAACTCAATGTGACGAGTGACAGCGGCGGTGGCCAGTACAGGAGTGCGATCCCGGTGTCCCTCCCCCATCCTGGGAAGGGCATAAAACAAAACATGATCCCTCTTCCAGTTCCAATTAAACAAAACAGCTATAACCCCATCCCTCCCCCCTCCCCTTCGAGGTATTTGCGAGAAATGAGCCAGTGCCCAACCTGGGCCCCCCCCCAGGTGGGGGAGGGCAGAGGGAAGCTAGTGATGGGTGGGGTAGAGAGGTTCCCCTCAGCACCTGGCCCCACGGGGCCCGCCAAGTGGAGGGTGGGAGCCCTGGGGATCCTCCCTACCCCAGTGAGGTCTGTTATGCAGCATTTTTGAGGTCAATAAATTACAGCAATAAATAGCAAGGTGAGGTAGGGGGAGGGGGTCCTGGTAGAAAGTTAAAGTGGGGTGACTGAAGCCGGGGCATCCTAGGAAGGGGGTCCTGGGCAGCCTCAGTTCCCACCGCTCATGCCCACCCCCACCCCGGCGTGGAATGTCAGACTGAGGCTCCAGTTAGGTCCCTCCCCAGCCCCTCACTCCTGGCATCTTGATTCACAGGTTCAGTAACATCTGCCCCGACGGGGTACTGGGAAATAGGAGGACCTTGGTCCCTTTAGGGGGCATGCCAGGGCTGAGAGCCCTTGTCTGCTCTAAGGCCTGGCGCCTTTGGCTTTTGTCCCCCACGCCTGGGGGGTGGACGGATGCAGCCTCCTGCTCCCTGAGCCCTGCCCTCCGGCTGCCCAGGCCTCACCCCAACTCAGGATGGCGGCAGGAGGGCAGGGGGTCAGCCTGCCCAGCGGCCCAGCCCGGATCGCACTCCTGCATGGGGTCTGAGGTCCAGTGAATACTGACAGGTTGGGGGAGTGGGTGGGCGGCCCGGCGCCCCCCGGAGTGGTGACGAACGGGAAACACACATGGCTGCCTGAGGTGGGGAAAGTCGATGAGGGTCCGGATTGCTCATTTCACAGGCTGAGGTGTATGGCTATGCTGCAAGTCTCTGAGATTCTTATTTGCTTAAAGGTTCATCTTTTCTCTTCCTTTTTTTTGCAATCCTGGAGGAGCCCTTGCTGGGGCTCGGTCCGGCGGGAGCGTGCAGTGGCGGAGCCCGGCCTGCCACCCGCTCACTCGCCCTAAGTCTGAGAAATAAATACATTCATCACTGCACAAACATATTGATACAAAAACAACACTGTTAAGAGTGTTTGCACCGTCTGTGTTGGTAAGGACCAGACCCAGTCAGCCCCCTCTGCTGTCTGGGGTGGGGTTAGGGGTCCCCACTCCTGGGGACCCACCAGAGTCAACTGAGCCGTGCAAAGGTCCCGGCTTTTTGGCTTGAGTGGGACCCTCACATCAACCCATCCCCGAGGGTCACGGGCAGAGCAGCAGGGGACCCAAGCCCAGACTCAGGTCCTGTGGCCAGAACTGACGGCCATCCCCGTGTAGGCTAGCTGGTCAGGACCAGCGTGGTCCGGCCAGAGGGCCTTGGGGGTTGGTCAGCACGGGCCCAAGCTCTTTGGTGCCAGCTGGGCTTGGAGGGGCCCTGGGAATGGGGACGAGGGTTCAGGTGACTCCAGGGAGGCTTCCAGTCCCTTCCCCAGTCCCAGGGCTGCCCTTCTCTGCTCGTGAACCACTCCAGGGCCAACTCAGAAGGGCTTCCAGCAGCAGGGGAGGGTTCCCTGGACTGGCCTTACAGCTGCTGAGGTCTGAAACTGTAAAAGCTTATGTAAACAATGAGATAAATATATTAGTATCTTTTTTCTGAGCCCATGGAGGTTCCATACTCATTCAAAATGTGCTTTGGTTTAAAAAATAGGCTTTGTGAATTTGGGTATGAGCTTATTTTTTTTTCTTTTTTCTTTGTTTATCCTCTCTTTCCTACATGATATCTGCTATTTTCTGATTCCTGTTTCTCCGAAACATTCAGGAATTAAGTGACGAACGCAGAGAACTGTAAGCCGCCTTGGCCTCCAATAACCCAGTTTCCTTGTGAGGCTCTTAACATCTCCACACACACACACTCGCACACACCCAACGTGGAAATCAAAGGAAAAAGAAAACAAAGCCAAATGTTGTGTTAATCCCGCCCTGTCCCAAAAACCCTTAAAGTCTTAAATAGGAAACTAGTGTTCTGCTTTCTCATTAAAATACAGAAAAGGCTCGATACAATACTAAGGTGGGTACAATACTATGTCGCACAAACGTCGTTGAGTGAGGGGCCTCTGCTCCCAGTCCCTGAAGTTCTGCAAAGGAATCACCTACTTTCACAAGTCACCTCACAGATGCGGCTGCCCACAGCCCGGGACGCCACGCACATGGCCAGGTGTGTGCACATTTCCCGTGCGGTACAGACTTTGTGTCACGTGGCTTAAGTGCTGATGGGGTGGGGTGGGGTCAGGACAGCGGGGGCGCCCTGAGTAAGGGTGGAGTCCATGGGTCTCCTCCCCCCAGGTCCCCAGCCTGACTTGCTGGAACCTGAGACCCAGGGCCCAGTTCTGTTTCCCACCACCAGGAGGGAAGAAGGGCCGTCTCAGGCTGGGATCACCACAGGGAGGGCTCAGCCAGGAGCCTCATCTGCCCGACTCCCTCACCCCAAACATGCCGCTCCCCACTTCGGTCCCTGAACTCAGGCTCTGTTTTTAGCTGGAGGGTCTCTAGAGGGGTGGGGGTAGGGGATGACTGTATTTTTTTGGTCTAAACTTAAAATAGGATGAAAAGAGAAAACAAAAAAAAAAAATGGTGAAGCAAGATGACGATAAAGCCTGCCGGCCCAGCCCCACAGCTCCAGCTGGCTGAAGACAGTGGGACTGAGATCAGCAACCTTGGTCTCGCCTTGAGAGCCCACTTCGGGACCCATGGAAGTATCTAAGGCTGGCTGAGGAAGCCCAAGATGAGGGGCGAGAGGTTGGCCCCTAGACGGTGGCCGGGGGCCAGGACTGCTCAGGGATGTGCAATCCCTGTTCCCCAGAGGGCCCTGTGGTCAGCTGTCTCAAGCTCAAACTCTTGCAGGAATGGAGGGTGGGAGTGGCAGGATGAGGGCTCACTTCTGCCTCACCCTGGCCGGGAGCTGCAAAGAACTGCCACCCTCCTCATGGCTCCCGTCAGCACCCAGTACCTGGCTCCAGGCTGGGGCCCCACACCCCTCCCCTATGCCACAAACAGAGGTTCGTGTTCCTGGGTTGCCAGGGTCCCCTCGGGGTGCATGTGGCCCAAGGCTCAAAGGGAAAACACAGGTGAGCTGCAGGCACTGGGCCACTCGGCACCCTGCTGGCTCCTGCACACGACTTCCTGGGCGCTTGTCAAGGGCTTCCACTGCCAGTCACCAACATATTGTTGTCACGAATTCAAGAGGTAGCAAAAGGTCAGAAGTCTCCACCTTGTTCAGTGAGGAAGCAGGGAAAGCGAAACGTCTGCCCATGCGTACGGCACACACCACACAGACACACACACACACACACACACACACACACACACACACACACACACACAAATGAAAACGAGTACCGACGGCCCCGGCATCGAGTCCAGCCTCCCCCCACCCCCCAGAACCCCAGACCTTCCAGTTCAAACAGTCACATAAACGTTACACTGGTTTTTCTCTTAATAAAAAACAAGTACCTCTAAACAAAGAATATTCCTTGGAAACTACAGGAAAAGCACTCTCTCCTGAGGCAGCCGAGGCAGGGCTCAGGGACCAGGGAAGCCTTTGGGCAAGAAGGGCTTCTGGGGCCTGGAGAGGTGGCGCACCAGCACCCCTGCAGCGCCAGAGCCGGGGGACGCGCAGGAGGGCCAGCGGCCCCTGTTACATTCAGTCTTCAGACCCAGGCTCAGCCCCAGAGGGGACGGGAAGAAAATAAGCTATTGTTTGTTTTGGTTTAAAGAACAAAAATCAAAAAGAAAAACAGAGGAGCAGATCAGTAGGAATAACAGCAACACAGGCCCAGAGGGCTCTTTAGTTGTAGAGAGGTAGGCGGTGGGGTCACCCTGACTGTCCCAGCGCCAGTGAGCAGTGCCACCCTGGCTCAAGGAGGGAGGGATCTGCACCCCCAGCACCTGTTCCCTGCAGAACCAGGGCCGCACGCGCCCGCACAGACACAAGCACACACACAGACACGGCTAGCGGGGTGGGGCCTGCTCCTGACACCACCCTGGCCGTGGCCAGCGTCCCACTGCCCTCTTTCTCCAAGCCGCCTGCAGCAAAGGGACCAGGTCCCAGCGAGACCCACGTGACCCAGCCCACAGGCCCTGCGGTGGCCCCCGCGGGGAGCTGGGGGCCTGGGTGGGATGGGGAGGTAGACGGGCTGGGACCCCTGGCTTCCCTCCTCTCGGCTCTGCTTGGTACAGACTGTCGATTAAAGCTCTGGGTGTGGGCAGTGGGGGCCAGAGGGGCCACCTGGAGCCTCCACTGGACCCAGGGTCTCGCCCCTGCCGCTGCATCACCTCGCTTCTCCTTCCATGGGTTCCCGGGGAGCAAGGTGGCAGAGGGCGCCCGCGGGTCTTTGGCTTCTAGGAGGGGGAAGTGTGCATGCGCAGGTGGCTGATGAGGTTGCGCTGCTGGGTGAACTTGCCCCCGCACAGCTGGCACTCGTAAGGCTTCTCGCCCGAGTGCACACGCATGTGCTCGGTGAGGCGGTACTGGCGGGTGAAGCGCATGCCACACTCATCACAGGCGAAGGGCTTCAGGCCCAGGTGGCTCCGCATGTGGCGCGTCATGGTGCCGCGCTGCGTGAACATCTTGCCACAGATGTTGCAGGGGAAGGGCCGCGTCAGCCAGTGCGTCTTCTCGTGCTGCCGCAGCGTGGCTGGGTCCTTGTAGGTCTTCTCGCAGACCGAACACTTGAAGGGCCGGGGCTCAGCCGCGTAGGCCGCGCTGGGCGCTGACAGGTCCTCGGCCTCCTCCTCGGCACCCCCACTGCCTGTCTCGTAGGCCCCCTCTTCCTTGATGAACAGCTCTTCCTCCGTGTGAGTCTCCACGTGCGCGTTGAGCTGCTCGGAGCTGGGGAAGCCCTTGGCGCAGGGGATGCACACGTACAAGTTGTCCCCATAGGACACTGTCTCGTAGCCCTCCTGCCGGTACATGTAGTGGGCGCTGGCATGGCCGCTGCCCCCCTCGCTCCCGCTCTGCGCGCTATCTTCACTTGCATCCTTGCCGTTTTCCTCCTCCTCCTTGCAGGGGTAAGGGGGCTCCCCATAGGGCCCGCTAGGGCCAGCCCCACCAGCCAGGATACCATTGGGAACCCTGTCCCCGACTCCCTCGCCCTCCTCTCCCGGGCAGGGACCCTTGGGCCCCGCTTCTCTCCGCTCAAAGGGGGAGCCAGCCACAGGCTCCTTCTTGCCCCACTCCTTCTTCCGAGTGGAGTGCCGGAGGCTCTTCCGAGGCTGCCCGCCAGGTGCCTCCAGCAGGCTCAGGTGGTTGTCCTCAGCCCCCTCCAGATCCATGGGCTCATCGGGGGTGCCCCCCAGCTCAGAATAAGAGGCACTGTTGGCAACGGGAGGGGCAGAGGCCGCAGGGGGCGACCCATGTTGGCTGTCGCTCAGTTGGGCTGGGTCATCGGGAGTGAGGTGGGGACCTGGCGTGGCAGGAGGCAAGGGTGGGCTTTTCTTGGACAGGTCCAAGCCCAGCTCCTGCTCGCAGCCCCCACTGCTCCCGTTGGTGCTGCTGCTGCAGCCCCCCAGGCCCACCTCCCCGCCAGCTGGACAGACAGCCCGGCCCAGACCTTGCACGCTATCCTGGTTAGAGCCACCAAGAAAGAGCTCATCGTCTGAGCCTTTGGCTTGCGGGAGCTCCTGGGGGGCGTGGGCCCCCTTGCGCCCATCCACGAGCCCGTGATACCGAGCCTGGATGACGGAGGCCGTGGACAGCCGCTGGCTGCGGGGGGGTCGCCCTATGCCGGCAGCCCCCGCCCGCCCAGAGCCAAAGGGCTTGCCGGCTCGCTTGAGTTTGCGGCGGCAGAGGGCTGCCAACTCGGGCAGCTGGAGGTAGCTGGCGGCAGTGAGGAGAGTGCTGAAGTTGGGCTCGGCTGGCTGGTCACTGGGCAGCAGCTTGCCTGTGTAGATGAAGTCCAAGATCTGCTGGAACACCGTGGAGCTGACCATGTCTGTGTCCAGGTTGATGAGGTTGTCGTGCAGGACCAGGGACTTGAAGTAGATGCTGCTGGCGGCCAGGACGTTCTTGTGGGCCCGGAAGATGGAGTTCTCCACCATGATGATGACGTCACACAGGAAGCCCTTGGTCCTCTGCTGGTTCAGCTGCAGCAGGAGCTGCTTCGAGTGGCTGGGCAGCTCCATGTCGGGCCCCATGTCCCCGCGCCCTGCCCACGCGCACCACCTGTGGGCAAGAACAGGCATGCACGCGTCAGATGACTGGGACACTCGGACCAGGGCTCTGGGGCAGGGTGGGGCTCGACAAGGCAAAGTGCCTCAGAACTTACCCCACACAGGGCAGCAGCCCCTGTGGCACAGTACACGGCACATAAGCCCACAATGCCCCCTGCATGCAGGCATAGTATATGTGTCCCCTCACTGAGGACTCAAACTGAGAAGGGACAGAGGCCCCTGCCCCATTTGCACTAATAAGAAAACGGAGGTGGAGGGTGATGAGGTGACAAATAGAGAAACAGGGATTTGCATTTGGTTTCACAGCCCGGGCTACTGTCTCTACACTAAATGAAGTCGATGACACACCCTCAGGCACCAGAAGGGGACCCAAAAATGACCAGCAGATGGCTTTAAACTTAAGAAAGCAGAGACCTCCGAGAGGAGCTTGTCTTGAAAGCTGGCAAAAATCCCCCAAAACTAAATGTTCCCTTTGAAATACGGCAGGGCCCAAATCAAACTGCCAGAAGCCTCTGGTGTGCAGCCTTGGCTCTGTTGGTATGCCCCCTGAGAGGCTGACCAGGCTTTGCCAGAAGTCATGTGGCTGCCTCCCAGATGCTGCAGTCGGCCTGCAGCCCCGCCTCTCCCCAAGGCCCTGGGCCACCTTGCACTCTGGGCGGGTGCCAAGTGCTGCCCCAGCCTGGGCTGCCAGGTACCAAGCAGGAAAGGCAGTCTGGGCCAAACACCTGGCACCACCTGAACCCTCCATCCTCTCTAGGAAGGGCAGCGCCATCTGGGCCTAGGAAAGTTGGCCAGCTGGCCTCCGTCACACAGACTGGCACAGGCGCTAACCGAGTTCAGTAAGCAAGAAACACACCGACGCCACTGGTCTCTGCAGGAACCCTGCCAGCCCAGGTGTATTTCTGCTTGTGCGGCAGCAAGCCATGGGGTTTCGAGAGCGGGTGCTCCTCACCACGCTTCCCATACCCATTGAGCAGCTTCCTCTGCCATGGACCAGGCACCCCACAGTGGGAATGCAAGGGCAGCACACACGGGTGCACAGTGGGCACCAGATGGACCCCAAGGGGGAAGAGAGAAATGCTGCTCCAAGGGAAGAGGCAAGGACTGTGGCCGGCAGTGTACAGAATGACTCTGGAATGTTCTGAATGACTCAAAGCCATCCTCAGCCCTAAGCCCAACTCCCCAGTGCAAAACACAGTACCCTCAGCTCCATCCTCTCACCCCTACCAGAGCCCCTCAGAGAACGGCTCAGCAGGAGGGTTCTGGGGAAGGCATGCCAGTGTACAGGTGGCCACCTGTGCCCTGGACAGGCTCACAAGCTTCCACAGGGCAGGGGGCCAGTGGAGACAGGAACTTTCCTCACTGACTCACGGCTGCTGGACAACTGAGCAGCGGGGCCCACAGGCAGCTCTGAGCCTCACAGTTCAGGGTCCAGACTCTCAGCAGCTGAACTACTCTCAGCCGCTGCCCTCTGGGATCTACTGCCCCTCCCAGAGTGTCCAGCCCTGCCTCCCAGAGCAGAGCCTTGGAAAGGGTCCCACCCTACCCAACCTTCCCATGACAGAAACTCTCCCCAGCCCCATGCCTGCCCTTGTTTGCCAAGACAAAGGAAAATCCTAACATTCACAGGCCCCTAAGGTGCCGGAGCTCAATGTGAACATGCAAGAGCGCAACACAGCCTGGACCACCACTGGCACTCAGAGCCTAACAGCAAGAGGCAGCAAGCACCTGCAGGGGCTCTCTGCCTAGCAGCCCAGCCCACAGCAGCTCAGAAGGGTGCTCACAGGCTGAAGACTTCATGAACCAATCCTCCTCTGCTCCCTGGCCCCTCAATCCACCAGGCAGGGGCAAAGAGCCCCCAAGGTGTGGCTTCCACACTGGGCCCCAGTAACCACTTAGCTCCCAGAAAACATCAGTGCCGGTTCTGCCAGCGCCCAGACACCTGGTACCCTGAGACTGGCAAGGGGGCTGGCAGAGGGCAGTAGCCCCCAGGCTCCCTCCACACTGCCCAGTGCTGCGTGCACACAAAGGACCACGGGTCAGACAGCGATAGAGGCTGAGCTGTGGGGCTGTGCGCCACCCAGAAAGCTCCGGGGAAAGGGGCCAGTGGCGGTCCTCCCTCCCCTGCGCCTCACCGGAATGCCAAGGGCCCAGACACCATGTGAGCAGCAGCCAGCGGGGGGGGGCCTCCTGAGCGCGTGGCCTTCCTGGGGGCGCATCAATGCCTGGTCACCTGGGGAAGAGAAGACGAACACAGTCACCCAGACAGCCATCAGCGAAGAAGAGAGGGAAGGGCGATGAAGGGAAGCACCTGGGGGTCTCTGGCTGGGGCACCAGGGGCAGCCCAGCAGGAGACTGTGGCCACAGAGCCACAGTTGTCCCTTCTGACAACCAGGAAAAGTAAAGACCAGGGAACAGGTCTAGGGAGGTCAGAGGGTGCGGTACCTCCCCCTCTCACACACACAGGAGATTATGGACACCCAGGGGTCACCTAGGCCAGGGGGCGCTGGTGGCAGACACACAATTCCTGGCCTGTGGGTGTGGTGGCAGGAGGCCTGGGCAGGGCCCTTCCCAGGCTGGTCACATTTACATAACAAAAGGTCAAAATTGGAGCCACTTGTGCAAGGCTATTTATAAGAACCAGTCTCAACCGCTTCTGGCTCCCCTGTTCCTTCCCTTCCTGATCTACTCTTACCCCCTCCATGCCCAGAGGGCCCAGCCCCCTAGCCAGACCACATGGCCTTCCCTCTCCAGAGGTTTCACTGCCTAAGGGCTCGCCCAAGCTGCAGGCCTGGGCTTTCAATACCGGCCCACCAAACCCTTGGGCAGCTGCCACCAGCAAAGGGCGGGCTCCCTCCCACCCCCAGAGCTCTGGGTCCTGAGGGAGGGGGGATCCTGAGGTGGTGGGTCCTTGCACCCCACACCTGCCAGCCTGGGCCCCCATGGAACAGAGCCGGGGTCAGGGAGGGGGGCGTGCAGTGGCCCGTCTGCGTTTCCCCTTCCCCCACTCCACCCCCAGGGCCAGGGAGGCTCAGCAGGTCCCTCAGGAATGTGACCAGACCCGGGGTGCCGGCCCAGGGTTGGGAGGCCTAGGCTGAAGCCGGCCAGCTGTCTCTCCAGCCCCTAGTGCAGCTCCCCTCTGGGTGGGGGGTGTGAGGGGAGGGGTGCATGGCTGGTCCAGGACCCCACCAAAGGCCCAGAGGGCAGCAGAACCAGCTCTGTTGGCAGGAAGCCCAAGGGCGTCGGTAGTTAGCGAGGGTTGGACCTGGTGGGCTAACGCTGGGCTGAGGCCAGTCAGGCAGGGGCCACTGAAACACTGGCGGGAGCAGTCAGAAAACTGGATAGAGGGTCTCGGTGGCACACTGGAGACAATCAGACACCATCATCCAGCCCTGTGCCACTTTACCTGCTCCCCAACCACTGCCCCTCAGGACCCAGTCAACCAGAGCCCTGCTGGGCAGAGCGTCTGCCAAACTCCGCAACCAGGGGTCACCTGACTTTGCCAGAGGCCAGGCCAGCTACTGGATGCCGCGCAGAGAGTGGGTGGTAGAACAGGACTGGGGGGCACCTGAGTGCCATGGGGGAGGGAACACCCTCCATCAGTGCCCACTGCCTGGCCCTGACAGGCACTTCACAAGCCCAGGCTAGGACTAGGTCTCTCCACCAAGGAAGGATGGCCCCAGGCTGGGTCAGCTGTCACACAGAACAGGGCAGGGCTCCTCCCTGCGCCCTCCACTTGAGGCAAGGGTGTCAGAGCCACCTGCAGAAAGTTCACAGCAAGCACAATGCCACCATGCCTGCCATCTACACCAGCTGGGCTGAGTCTGGGCCACATCTAGGCCACCACTGTGTCTGCAAGCAGCAATGCAGCCTCACCCCATGGAGGGGTGGGGGGTGGCACACACCATTCTGCTGCAAAACCCCTACTAAGCACTGCTCTTTCCTTCTCAGCCACAGAGCTCTGCCCTACCCGCTCACCGCTGGGCATGAAACAGCAAGCGCCTACCCTGGAGGACCCCGCCTGGGGAGTGCCAGGTAACTAGAAACACAGCTCTGGGCGCTGGCCCGGATGCTGGTGCCCAGCCCTGGCAGCAGCTGACTGCAGGCTGCGATGAGGATGCCGCCTGGCACCCAGCAGCCCCTGGCAGCAGGCCCGGGCAGCAGGCCTATCAGCCCAAGGCTAGCACGCCCAGCCTTGGCCTACTGCCCGGCCAGAACGCTAGCTCCCAGGACGCCCAGGATCTGGGGCAGTGGGGCAGCAGGCCTGGGCTATCGGGGCCAGCTGGGCATTCGCCTAAGGCTGTGACCCGTCGCCTCCCTGGGACAGAGCCTTCAGGGGTCCAGGGGAGAGGCAAGAAGGGTAGCACAGAAACTATCTCCCCAGTTAGGATCCCTCAGCTTCAGGATCCCCCCTGTAGATGGACTGGCCCCAGCTGGGAAGGGCAAGAACCCCAGCAGCTGGAGGGAGGGCCAGCTCTCTCTGGGGAACCCAGAAGGTCTGCAGGAAGGAACACAAAGCCTCTGGGTTACCTTCCCAGGCCTTCTGTTAGAGCAGACGCACGGCCCTGTTTACGGAACTGTCAACACGTAACTGCTCTCCTTTCCTTCCCCTCCCAGTGCCTGCTACTAAAAAGCCAGAAAGCCATGTCCCCGAACACTGAGGGCAGGCCCAGGGCCCAGGCAGGCGCTAGGGGGCTGGAACACGCCAGCCTCTCAAGCCACTGGTGGCACATGCCCAAGCCCTGCAGAGCTGGACCAGCCACAGCAGCCCCACCCCAGCTCTGTTCACCCTCAAGGAACTTACAGTAAGGCAGCCCAAGGCCCAGTCAGAGCCTACCCGGCCCAGCAAGTCCATTCTGTGGCAATAAAAACCTTGGGGACACACATATCCAACTGCTAAATAAGATTATCTGTGGGACTGGGATTATAAAAAAAACCATGGTATCTGCATGTTATGTTCATTTCTGTAATACTCAACATTTTTAAAAAGTATTACTTTTTTTTTTTTTTCTGAGATGGAGTCTCGTTCTGTCCCCCAGGCTGGAGTGCAGTGGCGTGATGTTGGCTCACTGCAAGCTCCGCCTTCCGGGTTCATGCCATTCTCCCAAGTAGCTGGGACTACAGGCGCCTGCCACCATGTCCGGCTAATTTTTTGTATTTTTAGTAGAGACGGGGTTTCCCCGTGTTAGTCAGGATGGTCTCGATCTTCTGACCTCGTTATCAGCCCACCTCGGCCTCCCCAAGTGTTGGGATTACAGGTATGAGCCACCGCGCCCGGCCAAAAATACAAAGGGCAGAAATGATGCAGAGACATGGATGAACCTCACAGTCATGGCACTGAGTGCAAGAAGCCTTTTGCGCGAGTACAGACTGCATGACTCCATTTACATTAAGTTCTAGAATAGGCAAAACGGACTGAGGGTAAAAACCACAGCAGGAGGGACAGGTGAGGACTGCCCAGGATGGGGCGAGGGACAAATGCCCACCACTGCCTGGCCCTGACAGGACTATCCAGGATGGGGCATGAGGAACTCTTTGGGGTGAGGGCAGCTCTCTATCTTGCTGGGAGTCTGGGTTAAGGTAAATGAAAATACAATTTTAGGCACTTAATTGCATGTAAACTGTACTTCCAATGAAACCTCCAGACAGAGGCTTTCACAGGACATTCCCAGCTCAGAAGCTCAGCACGATACCCTGTTCCCTCCTGGAAACACCACCAGCTAACATTTACTGGGCACTGTTGTATGCCCTACCATGTGCTGTGTCACTGGACCCTCAGGGCCACCCAGGAGCCTGTGTGTTCTGTCCATGTGATGAGATGGGACCCTCTCATCTTCACACAGCACAGCTGAGCCTCAAACCCAGCACTCACCCCGACCTCTCACCTCCCCACGAGGTAGGAAAACCTGGGGCTGAAAGTGTGGAGGGACATGTCATCTACAGCCCTGGGCACAGGACACCCCCTTCTCACTAATGATTTCCAGACCACCCAGGGGATTAGTTCTCAATTTTCCAACTGGCACAGAGACCAAGGGCGATGGGGAAACAGCTTGGAAGGGCAAAGATGCCACAGCGGGAACAGGTTCCTGTCCCTCCCAGCTGCTTCCCAGCTGGGTGGCCCTCAGAGCATCTCCAGAGGGCAGTCAAAAGCCCCAGGCCAAGACCACCCTGCACTCTGGATCCCTCTACTCGCTCCCCAAATGCAGACCAGCCAAATAGCCAATGGGGATGGCAGAGGGCAGGGCACTGTGCACCCCTCACTGCCTCCTGACACTCGAAGCAGCCCCCCATTGGGGGACCCACTAGTCCATGATCCTATGCGAGGTCAGGCCACACCTGCCCGCGTGTAGAGCCTCTGGTCAGTCCACGTGGCTGCAGGGGTCCATGGGGAGGCTGGAACAGGGTCACCTCAAGGCCTTTTTTCTAAGCACCCAGTAAAAGGCAGGAGAGTGTCCTCTGGTCAGCATCTTTCAAAGGCCAGAAGAGAGGAGGTTTTCAGATAAAAGTGATCCCTGTGGAGGCAGAAAGCAGAGAACTCCAGCCCCCAATCTGAGAGGCACTGCCCCAACCCAGCCTGGACACCCACCTTGCCTAGAGCCTTAGCCTCCAAGAAGCCAGGCATTCAGAATCGCTCCAGGTGCTGGGCCCCCACATGGCTCCTTCTGGAGGCCCTGCCTCTGGGAGACAGGAACACATCTCACGCCCACCTCCAGGCCCACAAGTGGGGGTCAAACTCAGGGTGTGGTCTCAGCTACATGATACCCGCCTTCAGTGTCTGGCTCCTACAGGCAGAATGTGCCCTCCTGGAAGCCAGCACGGGCACCCAGACTGAAACTTCTGGCTCACACCCAGCCAGGAGGGAGGCCTGGGGGAGAAGGATGAAGACCAGGAAAGGGCGCCGCCCCAAGCAGGCCACCCCGCCTAGCCCTCCTAGGATCCTTCTCATCCACCTTCCTCCCCGGAAGCCATCCCTAACTTCCCCAGAAAGGGGCTTCCTGCATGAGGCCTGGAGCTATACTGGAGGACTGAGGAGAAGCTCCCTCCAGCCCACCCCTAAGGAGCAGCACCTTAACCACCTCCCAGTCTAAACAAAAGTAACAGTGAAATGGGAACCCTCCAGCTGACGCCAAGACAGCTGAGAGTGAGCAGGGCCGCCCACGGCCCGCCCAAGCTCCACTGTCAGGTGGGAGGGACAAGCATGCCAGGCTGAGAAGCCATGCTGGGCAGGGCAGGGCCACCAGGCAACTTCCACATCCCAGAGGTCTAAGTACATCTGACCAGGATCAGAGAGAGCCCCAGACTTGCTGCCACTCCTCCCAAACTTAAGTCTAAGGTCAGATCGGCCCTGGTCCCAGACCAACCCCCAACTATAGTCACCTCATAACTTCAGGTGTGGCTGGGACAGATGCAGCTGCAAGGGGTGGCCCTGTGTGAGCTCAGCCTCTTCCCAGGGGCCCCTAAGCCATGGGAGAGACTGGAGGGCACAAGGCAGCCAGGCAGGAGGCAGCCAGGATCTAGAAGCACCCCAAGGCCCAGCCCCTGGACAGACCAACCAACCCTGCACAGTCACAAGCCCAGGACTTTGTTCATCCTATCCCTATGGCCTGGAGTCCTCCCTGAGGAAGACTTGGTAAACAAGAGAGAGCTCCAAGGGGCCAAGGCTGCACCTCGCCCACCGCCACAGCCCTGTATGAGATGGTAGCCCATGTGTGGGCAGGTCTGATCTCCTCAATCTTCCCACAGGCCCATTGAGCAGGCGTTATCTCTGCAGTTTCAGATAAGAAATTAAAGGTTCTTGGGGGTTAAGCAACTTGCCCAGGGTCACAAGAGCATGTAGGTAGCAAAGTGAGGACTCAAAGCCTGACTCCAGAGCTGTAGTCTGACGACCCCACCCTAATGCAGGCAGGGCCAGGGATGCCACTCACACAGGGTTTCCAACTGCCAAGCTGCTTGGGGGAGTCACAGGAGGCACTGCCCTCCATGCACTGGTGTGCCAGGAGGAGGGACTCAGTCTGCACCTCCAGCCTCACTCCCCCACCCCTCCACCCCCCAGCACCGCCTGCATATCCACAGCAGGGCCTCACCTGGGTGCATTCTCCCAAACTCACTGTGAGGGCATGGGGTCTGCCCAGCTCCTTCATCAGAAGTGACAAGGTGGGGCCCCAATCACGCAGCCTGCTTTGGAGGCCCAGGTGAAGCTTGCTGCTCCTCTGGGAACACCCCCACCCTCCATGACCTCCTTCTCTGTCCCTCCAGGCATGGGCTGGTGGTGGGTGGGGCTCACTGCTCTGGGCAAGCCCAGCCATGCAATCCAGCCTAGACCTGGATGCCGGCCAGCAGCTCCTGGCACTTCTCCCAGACCATCCTCCTGGAAAGCAACAGGCTCCACAAATGCCAGGAGCGCAGCTCTCTCCAATGCAGCTTCTACAAAATAAACACTCGGGTTCCACTCAACACATTGGTGATGCACCAATTGGGACCTGAGGCTGGCCTCCTCCTTCTCTGCTCCTCAGGCCAGCCCTGTGGCCTAGAGTGAGGAAGGTAGCATCCACCCCAGCCCAGTGACTTTCCCAAGCCTGTTCTGAAATGCCCACGGGTCCTACTGACAACCTCGTGCTGCCCACAGCAGGGCCGAGCCCTGCATGGTCCGAGCCACCCGCCCATGTGTACTGTCCCTTCTGAGAGGTGAGGAAGCACAGGCTAACACTCCAGCACAAGGAAAAGGCTAGAATGGGCTGCTGAGAGGAGAGCTGGACCGAAGATGCCTCCAAACTGTACTTCCCCAGAAGCTACAGCCTTGGTCCCCTCGCTCTCATCACTTCCGGGTTTGGAGCCAGCAAGGAGTGAGGCCAGGAAGACCTTGGAGGCCTGCAGCTGATTTCCCCTGCTAGGGCTGGCACCAAGGAGGCCCTGGGGCCCTGGCACCATCTGGCTGAGAGTTCTGAGACAGGATACTGGAGAGAGGCAGGGGAACACTGCTTTAAGAAGCAGAATAGGCCGGGCGCGGTGGCTCAAGCCTGTAATCCCAGCTCTTTGGGAGGCCGAGACGGGCGGATCACGAGGTCAGGAGATCGAGACCATCCTGGCTACAATGGTGAAACCCCGTCTCTACTAAAAAAAAATACAAAAAACTAGCCGGGCGAGGTGGTGGGCGCCTGTAGTCCCAGCTACTCGGGAGGCTGAGGCAGGAGAATGGTGTAAACCCGGGAGGCGGAGCTTGCAGTGAGCTGAGATCCGGCCACTCCACTCCAGCCTGGGCAACAGAGCGAGACTCCGTCTCAAAAAAAAAAAAAAAAAAAAAAAAAGCAGCAGCACAATAACAGCTAGGCACGGTCTGTAATCTCAGCACTTTGGGAGGCTGAGGCGGGCGGATCATGAGGTCAGGAGATCAAGACCATCCTGGCTACCATTGTGAAACCCCGTCTCTACTAAAAATACAAAAAATTAGCCGGGTGTGGTGGCACGCACCTGTAGTCCCAGCTACTCCGAAGGCTGAGGCAGGAGAATTGCTTGAACCTGGGAGGCGGAGCTTGCAGTGAGCCTAGATCGCACCACTGCACTCCAGCCTGGGTGACAGAGTCAGACTCTGTCTCAAAAAAAAGAAGCAGAATAACAATTTAAGATTGTGATAGTTACTACGAATGCTGTGCTCACCTCCAAACTCCATCCCAACACCACCCTGCCTCCCAAGAGGGACCTGAGTGTGGGGGTAAAAGGCTCGCTGGCAGCCGCAGAGCAGGAGCCCATGCAAGACCACTAGAGGATGTGCAGCTGCTGTTCCTAGTAGGTGAGGAAAAGGCAGGAATCTGGCAGCCATGTATGTCAAGAGGCAAAACGGGCCCTGTGCTGGTTTCTGCAGTCCTCTCCAGCCCGCTTCCCTGCTCTTCTTGCTCATTGGCCATGACCCAAGAAACAGCAGCAGCACCACCAGGGATCTTGTTAGAAATGCAGACGCTCAGGCTCCATCCAGCTCTAACCACCAGAACCCTGGGGGCTCAAACACACAGTCAAGTCTGAGAAGGGCTAGGTTAGA